GGGGGGGGGGGGGGGGTGATGAGAGTAGCATAAAAACATATTTTCTATTCTCTAACCAAAACACTAGAAAATATTTTTCCGAAAATGTTTTCCACTCATCAACCAAACAAGGGAAAATAAGTGATAAAACTACTCATTTTCCATGAAACAAATTTCTAGGAAAACATTTTCCTTCGTACCAAACACACCCTAAATAGTCCAATATTTAGAATTATCACATAATGTTAGCTCAAAAAAATATTTTCCCTGTTCAAAAGATGAAATAGAATAATCTTTTTTGTGTTTGTTTGGTGAGTGATGAAAAATGTTTTTCAAGAAAAATTTGATTGATGATTAGGAGTTAATTCTTGCAAATCAACTAGTGTTTTGATGAGATTTTGAATATTAAAGATCATTAATAATGTTTAAGTGTTGGTCGGAGTAGTGATATGAAATTAAGTATTGAGATAATTGTAGAGAATTTTTTTATTCTCATAAGTGAGAGAAGTTATCTCCTCTTTTGTTGAAAATAGTAGTATATTTTTTTAAACAGCTATGCGTTCTGACAACTAACCATTTTAAAAATGACTTATTTACCAAAATATATATATATATATATATATATATATATATATATATATATATCTGTCCCAAACATATAGGACCAGCTAAGTAAATTTGCCATTACTCCTTGTATAACCCTAGACCCAAATGGGTCTAGGTAGAGTTGGGGCCACAAAGGATAAGGTCAAAATCTCAATCACCTGCCAAGTAGGACACCCACTAGACCAAGTCCCTGCTCCCTAGTGAAATTGCCAACCCTCTTCCTCCCTTGGCTTTAATTTGAACCCTTCATTCCTACTTCCTATATAATGTCACAGCTCCTCATATTTACAAAAACATCGCCTATTAAAATTTCATATATCCTGCTTACAAAGAGAAAAGAGAATCAAGTACAAAGTACGTACGTACACCGAGAAATTATGGGAAATTGTATAAGAAAAGAATCATCCATGCAGTTTGGAGGCGAAGACTGGGGCTTACCAGAAACTAACGAAGATTTCTATTGTCATAAGAGCATGAAATTGGAGGATGATCATCTTCTAATGGGAGAAAATAAGGAAAGCATTCATACTTCAACGCCGGGATCAGCAAAAGAGATAAAGATAAAGATCACGAAGAAGCAATTATCGGAGTTGATGGGTAAGGCAGAGGTACAAGGCATATCCCTCCATCAATTGTTGACGCAGTTGATGAAGGTTAGTGAAAGTCTTGAGTTGTGCCATCGCTCATGGAGCCCTGCCTTACACAGTATACCTGAGGACAATTAAGTCCTTAGTAGTATATTTTCTTTCTTTTTCGTTCTTTTTTTTTTTTGGAGGTAGAAGGATTCTTTGATTTGTTTGTGCAGTGCACGTATATAGCAAGCACTTTTAGACTCTGTTTGGGCAATTTTAAAGCCTTACCTTGTACATGGAAAAATTGACACGTTTTAGATATTGTACTTTCATTCATTTTATTCTTGAGTTGTTGCGGTTGCGGGAAACAAATAAAAGGATAGTCGTTTTGACCAGAATTGGATAGCTTCGGTATACATACGAATTTAGATCGGAAGGTTTTGCCAAAGAATTTGATCAACACGACCCAATTATATATCTTAACATATTACTTATATTTACATTTCTTGAGCGAAGTTCGCCGGAAGAATAAAATTCCGTGAATACGTTCAGAGTTCATTTCCTAGGTAATTGTCAAGAAGTGCTGAAGTGGAATGTATTACTATATGGTTTTATGTGGTAATGTTTGAATCAGTACGAAGTTTTCTTAAGTTTAAGAAAGAATTGAAGATTTTTGAAACTTATGATTTAAAACAAGTCATAAATATTTGTCTGGTTAAAAAGCTTCTCATTAATGATAAAATGAGAAATTTAAGTTAAATTGTTTCCAGATTTAAAAAGTTATCATTATTTGTGGACGAACTAAAAAGGACATATTGCCACTTAAAGTAGAGCGGAGGGAGTACAACATCGGGAAAAAAAGGTCGGGGCTGCATTATATGCGACTAATCTGATACTCTTGATATGATATAAAATCTTAGTCGTTTTGACAAATTAAATTTATTTTAAATATATGAATTTTTAGAAGTCCAAGAACTATGTATTGTACTTTATTTCTTAGGTTACACTAACTAATTCAATTAGTGGAGTACTAATTAAGTAGTAATATATTTAAGAGAAGAATATAATAGTTTATAAACATGCTATGAATTTGATGAATTAATGTGAATGTTCGTTCATTTTTACATTCCATGTAATGAACTCATGTACTTGTTCAATATTTCATCAAAAGAGTTGTAACTTTCGAATGACTTTTACGCCATATAAAAAGGATTCTACCTATTGTATTAAAGATATACACTTGAATGAGAAATATCTATATTCTCTTCTCTCTATTTTTTGTTCTATTTTACTTTTATTTATAACAAAACAAATATTTTGCTATCTTTTTTTTTTAAACGAGTGCAAAATTTTTTTTACTATCAAGACTATTAAATATTTTCTTTAACGAGTGCAAAAATCTTAACCGACAGGCTTTTCGAGTTTTGAGTTTTGAACCAAAATAAAGATAGCCACTTGAGAACCTTTCGAGAGGAATGAGGAAATAAATATTCAATACAACACCTTTGAGTACCTAAACATTTTTCTCATGTCACAATTGGTCTGCTTTGTATAAGTACTATAATTCATTATAATTAATCCATGTAGGACGCAATAATAAGGATCCAAATTACGATTCCAACTAGACGCCCATTTTTAATTACGTTATTAGTCAGCGAGTCACATAAATCGCTAGCTTACGGATAGAGGGTCAAAGTTCAAACTATATAGTATAACAATATAGTATACTATATTGTTAGGAACTACGTTACCCCCTAATATGAGATTTTCACGCACAAATTTAAATAGACTCGGATACTAATGCAGGTACTGGATATCGAGTGGGACCAACAAAAAAAATACATCTGGTCAAGTTAATAATTTTACTATCATTAGAGGCTGCAAATTAAATAGTGAAATCAAACATTGACACTAGAGTTGTCATGAATCAAACTTCATGTATGTAGTGAATCCCTTGTGAACTCTAGGTATTGTTAGACATAGTTTGTATATGTGGGTTTCCCACATAGGTGGCTTTAAGGCCTTATTTGCTTGCATTTAATGGAGGTCTAAATTTTAATCATTCAGATTTCAGATATTAAGTGTGTTTGTTTTTAAAGTTTGAATCTTAATTATTCAGATCTTAATCATTAAGTGTGTGTATTTTTTTTTTACTTCGCAACCACTTAATGGGTCCGAATAGGTCTGTATGATTAAGATCGATAACAGAGACTTAATTTCATTAAGATACTATCACATATTCATTATTAATTGCCGCCACCGCCTACCATTATCAACTACCACCATGCCGCCGCCACCACCACCTCCACCACCATCACGCCGCCACCATCATCCTCAATCATAGCCGCCACCATTATCGGCCATCACCACCCACTATCCCCACCACTCCGACCACCATCATTCTTACCCACAATCAACACTCATCCACCTCAACTACCATAACTATTAACAACCACAGCCGGCACTGCCCATCATTATAACCTACCACCACCTTCCTCAGTCATAACTACTGCCACCACCCGCCATTATTAACTATCACCACCCACCAGCACCATCCTCAATCATAATCGCCACCACTAACAATCACTACTAGCTACTAGAACCACCATCATCAATCAAAACTACCACTAACTACCGCCTCTATTCGGCATTCACCCGTTAGCCATCACCACCAACAACTATCATATTTTTAAAAACTATATATTTTATTGATAGAATATTAGATTAGTTAGTATTTCATTTGAATTTTATGTTTATTAATTTTCAAATGAAGATAAAATTCAGATGTTAAAAATCAAACAGTCTTAATTATTTAGTATTCAGATCTTAATACACATCTTAATATATTCATATGTGTATTCAGATTTAGATGTCTTAATCTTAATACACATCTTGATATTCAGATGTCTTAATCTTAAAAAAAACAAATGAGGCCTAAGTCACTTTTGAGGCCTTAAAAGGCTAAGCCCACTAAGTCATATAGAATGAGTATTTGACAGTAAAAATAGCACGGTCTAGCCAGTTTTCGGACTGGTCATTCAAAAATAGCCAACGTTTACCAAGTCAATGAAAAATAGCCACTATTTTTCTGCAACAGAGACCGGTCCAGCATAATATACTGGAGTTCGGTGCATCTGTGTATGAACTTCCAGCATATTATGCTGGAACTCCAACACACGGAAAGTTTCAGCATAATATACTGGAGATTCGAGCACTTGTGTATGAACTTCCAGCATATTATACTGGACTGGTATACTTTGCTGGAACTCCAGTATATTATGCTGGAGTTCTAGTGTACTTATGCTGGAACTCCATCATATTATGCTGGAGTTCCAGGATAAGTATGCTGGAATTCCAGCATAATATACTAGCGTATTTTCTGGGTTTTGAACAGTGTTTTCGCTTAGATTTATCTTCACATGAAAAGTGGCTAGATTTCTATTACTTTTGAAACTGGGCTATTTTTGATCGACCACTTGTAAATCTGGCTATTTTTGAATTTCTCCCTATTTGACATACTTCTAAAGTATTATGTCTGTAATATATATATATATATATATATATATATATATATATATATATGACTTGGACTTGGACTTGGGGCTTGGGCGCGGGCGCGGGTGCGGGTGCGGGCGCGGGCGCGGGCTGGGTCGGACCTTTAAATAAAGGTTTTATTTTCGTATTTATTTTTTGGAGCAATTTCTGATTATTTAAATTCGAATTTAAATTTGAATTTTAAATAGAACAGACATAACTGTTCGTATAGGAGTGTGACTTTTCTGAAAAGTCTTCTCTTGAATTCTATAAATACAAGGAGACCCTAAGAGCGGTGATATTCAATTTGCAAGTATAATTCTGGCTTTGTTGTATCCTGACGGAGAATTGCTTGTAATCCCCTAAAGAATATACGGGCAATATCTCTTAAAAGATAGTCATCTTTCACGCCTCAAAGCTATACTTCTCTTTTAATCTTCTCCAATTTTTCTAACACGTATGTTGTTGCTTTGCACTTTCCTTTAAACACTTTGACTGAATAATAATAACTCATTGCAACTTGTAACCCCCAAAAGGCACATGCATATTTATCCAAGAGAACTAAGCGAGCGTGCATGCATGTTGACTGGGATAGAAAAATGGGAAAAGCATAAAGACGCAAAAATAGTTTAAAATTCAGTAGTGATAGACGTAGCTAACAAAAGACGATGCCGATGCTGGAAATTTTATGCATAGTTTAACTTTTATACGGCAATACGGTAAAGAACTTTATACACTAGCAAATTATTATTATTTGTTGTAGTATAAAATTTGCTTTGTTGTCAAGTAAATTCTATTTTTATGGAGATATCAGATTATTTTAACCTGAATTTTGTAAGTAATTTACTTTGCATGTGAGTGTGACGCTCAAGTTCAATATATATTTTGGGAGACATGATACTTCCTTCGTTGTAATTAGATTATTTTTTCTTTCTTAATTTGATTTGTGATTTGTGGCACACTGCCACGTGTACACAGACATATTGTTTAATTGTTCATTTCATATGTAAATTTTAAATAGAAACAAATAATATTTTGAGAAAATTTTGAAGAGAAAGTTATATTAGTAAGAGATAATTAATGATTAGAAAGTAAGAAAATCGAATGTAGTTTTAAAGAAACAACTTTAACCATATTTTTGGTCAATCAGCACACCACTTCAGCTCCAAATTAGATGGAGCAATTTGACACATTCGTTGAGCCAAGTCAACAAACCGATTATAATCAATTTGTTTGAAACTTTTTGCCACCTCATTGTTGGTTCCTAAACTCACACGCAACGTGGTCGACAAGTAATATGGGATTATAAATCCAGATATTATATCCACAGCACATAGAGACTTGTGATTAACTATCAACTAAATTAAACCAAACAATTAATCTATTCAAGCGAATCCTAACGTATGAATATTTAAATAAAATTAATCTAGTATAACAAATTAAGAGATTAAAGAAAACAAGTTGGTGAATTATAGAGACGAATTAAATGTGAATGAATATTCTAGAGCTATGGGTTAGCCAACAATCCCGTTGAGTTTTCCACTTAAATCATCTAATTAATTTATCTGATTTATTGGTTGACATGGTTAATATTGCTTGTAGCCTTCTCCCGAAGTACA